TAGTTTCAAGAAAGTCAAAATGGATAATAGGAATGAAAATGATGAGGTTGTGTGTATGTTGTGTCTGCCTGTGTGTACCTGAGATGCTTCTTTAGATAGCGTACTAGGGGTGGTCTCTCTGATCCTGCTTAGATCTAAAGGGCCTATTAGAGAGCTAATCTAACCACGTGACTTGATGAATCAACAAGTAATCCTTCCCTGAAGCTATAGGTAGTCCTCGTTTCCCTTGTTGAAGGGGCAGTTTTGAACTGAGGGGAAATTTACAATACTGGAAGAGGGGATGATATGAAGTCTAGTTAGTTAAAAATGAATTGAGATGGTATTAAGTATACAAGTAAATAATGCATGTCAGTGATATTGCCTGGAAGAGCAAAACAAGAAGAATCTGGCAAAACTCCTCAGTGCTTCTGTTCTTGTCACTACAAGATTGACAGTAACCAAGAGCACAACTGGAATTTTACCAAATAGATTTGAAGTTAAGGTTAAAGCTGAATTACATGTACATCTTCCTGATTTTCCTGAAAATGGGACCTCTGCTTTATAATTATGACATTATAACGGGAAAAAATTACATAGAAGGATAATGAGCCTGACATGCAGAAAGTGCGATACAAGATTTTGTTGCTGTCGTCGCCATCATCATCATCATGAGTGGTGTCTAATTCCAGATGGCTCACTGCTGTCATGGTTCACATTTGTAGATGGATCAGAGACATACAATAATCAGCATCCTGTCAATCGTGTTAGGAGAGTTCCTTTTAATTTGAAAAGTTTGTGAACAATCAAAATATATTTTCTTACCTTTCTACTTTATTCATATTTGAATGTGTTTTGAACTAAAGTGACACTTTGCAAAATATTTTGAAAATAAATGTTGATATTAGCCATGCCTGTGATTTCCGGTGTAATATCTATGTGGATTATTTTACAAATCTGTTTCTTGTGTCTTAACCCACATTCCTGGTTGTCTGTTGCCATCTGCTCATGGGTGTCCTTGGCCCCCTTGCCCAGTTGGAACTTCTGGGTTGCTGCTCCAAACCTTCTCTTCCCATTATCTCACCTGGTTATCCAGCTGCGATACCTCCACATCATTTTTAATGCCTCTCATGTCTATCATATTTAATCAGTCACCAAATCTTGCCATTTTTAGTGCAGCATTATTATTTTACAAGCAAGGAAACAGGCAAGATGAGGTTACAAAATTTGCCAAGGTTGTACGGCTAATAAATCGACAAAGATGAGATTTGAATCCAGCCATATTAGATTTAATCTCCTCCCCAAGTGTTTTTCCTCTTTAGCTAACTTGATGATGATATTCTTGGGAGA